TTTCTCTGCAGCACCAACATTCTCCTAATGTTAAATGTGTTGATTTGCTTGTGTCCGACCTAACTAACCTGTGCTATACACTCTCCATATCTTCACTGCCGTTGCCCTCCTCCTTCAGAGCCTCCCCTTCACTGGCAGCCTCCTCAACATGGGCCAACATGTCAGCCATCAGCGCCTCCTCCAGCCTCTTCCTCACACTGTAGACCAGCTCCTCCTGTTTCCTACACACAGACACAACAGGAAACTGTTAACAGTTGGCAGTTGCAGCTGCCTCTAACAGCCACTGAATCAACACACAGCAGACGGTGTGTTTTTACAAAGAGCAGGGTCACGTGTTATGGGCTGAAGAAACTCGGAATAGAACAGCTCATTTCAAATTTGACAGATTTTTAAATTATTTAAACAATTTTACAGTTGTTTTTCTGCTTTGCCATAAAAAAATGGAAGCCAGTATTTCATGAGCTGGTTTGACAGATAATGGATGTGCTATTATTCATATTGCCTAAGTAGTCATTTCCTGTTTTTAGACAGATTGAAGAAGGTCTGTGTAAAATCTGTGACAACCATTTCACAGGCACACGGACTGAAAAGACCAGACATTCAAACAAGGACTGGGTTTGAATTTTTGGATATTAGCTTAAGCAATTAAATGAAAACAGGTGATGGTAATGTTCAGTTATCACCCACCTGATGTCCTCATCAGTGACTATGAAGGCCTTGCACAGTGGCTGTGCCGTGTTGAGCCACACTCCTGGGTTCTTCTCCACAGCTGCAGACAGCTGGCCAGTGATGGGAGCAGCGCTGGTGTGGAGAGCGCTCGCAATGGCTGACAGGAGTGTCTTGTCTGTGCAGCCCGGACCAACACCTGACGGCCCAACAGGGCGGTTAAAAGACATTTCTAAGAAACAAACTTGTAACTGCTCTCAGGTTTAGTTATGTCATGAAAAGAGAACTGCTGCTGCATTGAGAAAAATTAACTTATTACCTTGCAGACCTTTAGGGAGTTCCATTGTTTTCACAAGTTCCTCTGCAGTGTCATAAGCATTAAGACCACTCAGTTTCTTTTCCCAAAATAGCTGTGAGCAAAAAAAGAACGGTTTTAGCTGCAGGCAGTATTGACAGGAAAAACCCTTTAAATAAACAGAAAGACATTGCTGCTTTCATTAGAACACAAAACCAGTTCAAACTCAAGTCCGGTTTGTCCAGTTTCAAAGTTGACAAGCTAAACTATCAGGTAACGCAAGTCTTGGGCGTGCATAGGCTGATGTTAACAGTAGCAGGCTGAGGCCGCTCACCTGCCTGGGCTGGTCGACGGCTTTCTGAGGATCCGTCTTCACTTTGTTGTTGGGGTGGTTGGTAACCTTGGTAACAGGCTGTTTAAAGATGGAGGCCGTCTGTCTGACTGGCAGTGATGTATTCAAGTCAGGTTTGCCCTTTAATGTAAAAGACAAGAAAGAGTAACGATGAACCCTGGACACAGAAAAGAAATGATAGTGGATGATATTATTCCTCAATTAAGATTAAAAAGAGGCTTAAGACAGTTTTTACAGGAGTTCACTGAACTGATCTGTGTACAGGTTTGAAAAAAATAAATAAATACAGCCACAAGAAAGGGTAAAGGCACTGCTCTGGTTTTCTGCACATTGACTACTGACTGCTGCACATTCTGCTCCCATGCCGCACACATTCTCTATTATATTCTTATATATTTTTATTATATTGTATTTATTGTATTTTTGTGGCATTCATGTGGACGGCAAAGTTAAGAATTTCATTGTACAGGGAAATACATTTCCTAACTGTGCATATGACAAATAAACACTTTGACCTTGACCTTCTGCATAAACTGGTCATGAAATGTGATCTGATCTTCACCAAAGTCACAAATAGCAACAAACAATATTTCTAAGCTGATAAAACAAATAGCCATGATCTTTCATGTCTTTATTTAATATATCCATTAAACATACAAAGTGATGGCAGGAAAAAAGTAATGGCAACAGTGTTTTAATAACTGGTTGAACTACCTTTAGCAGCAACAACCTCAAGCAAGCGTTTCCTGTAGCTGTGGATTAGACCTGCAAAACGTTCAGGAGGAATTTTGGACCATGCTTCCTGACAGAACGGCTTCAGCTTAACCGTATTCTTAGGATGTCCTGTGTGAACCACTCTGTTGAGGTCATTCCACAGCATCTCTATTGGGTTGAGGTCTGGGCTCTGACTGGGCCACTCCAGAAGGTGGATTTTGTATCTCCAAAGTCATTCTGTAGTAGATTTACTTAGATGTTTAGGGTCGTTGTCCTGCTGCATCACCCAGCTTGTTCTGAGTTTCAGCTTGCGGAAGCCACCCTGACATTATCCCGTAGGATACCTTGATAAACTTGGGAATTCATTTTCCCCTCCACAGTGGCAAATGGTCCAGGTCCAGAGGCAGCAAAGCAGCCCTACATCGTGATTCTCCCTCCAGCATACTTCACTGTAGGGATGATGTTTTTGTGTTGGTACGCGGTTCTCTTTTTATACCATACGTAGTACTGTGTGTTCTTCCCAAACAATTCTACCTTTGTTTCATCTGTCCCCAGGACATTTTCCCAGTAGTGTTGTGGAGTGTCAGGGTGGTCTTTGGCAAACTTCAGGTGTGCTGTAGTGTTGTTTTTGGAGAGCAATCGCTTCCTTTGTGGTGTCCTGCCATGGATACCATGCCTGTTCAATATTCTGCTTATGGTTGACTCATGAACACCGATGTTAACCAACTCCAGTGAACCCTTCAAGTCTTTAGCTGTTATTCTAGGGCTCTTTTTTCACCTCACTGAGCATTCTGCATTGTGCCTTTGGAGTGATCTTGGCTGGGCACCCACTTGTATGGAGAGTGGCCACAGCACCAAATCGTCTGCATTTAAAGACAATATGTCTAACTGTGGACTGATGAATATCTAAGGTCTTTGAGATGACTCTGTAACCATTTCCAGCTACATGCAAATCAACAACTCTCGATCATAGGTCTTCTGACATCTCTTTTTTGTGAGGCATGGCTTACATCAACTGCTGCTTGTGAACAGCACACCAAGGCTGAGTGTTTTTATAAGACAAAGTAGCTCTAAACCACACCTCCATTCTCATTTCATTGAATGGACTTCAGGTTTGTTAACACCTGACCCCAGTTGACATCAGAAGCCTAGTGTTGCCATGACTTTTTAGACCATCACTTTGTATGATTAATGGGTGTGTTCAATAAAGACATGAAAAGATCAGGACTATTTGTGTTTTATCAGCTTATTGTGTTTGTTGATACAGTAACTTTACTGTTGCTGCCTTTTATCAACACACTGCCACTGGTGTGCTTTAAGTTACTGATGTTCAAATGAATCAGCCATTATATACAGTCATTCTTTAAGCTTTATGGCATGGCAACACAAAGGAATCACTCACTTACATCACCTATTTAAAAATAACCAGTTCATATCATTTAATACACTGATCCAGCAGTACGGAGTCCAGAGAGAACAGTTCCTCCAGTACAATCA